CGATTTTATATTAGTACTTTAGGTCCCTGTTCTGCCAACATACCGAGAATATACAAAAAAATATGTAAAACCTTGTACGCTGTTCGTTCTATGTTGTTAATACAAACATTTTGGAAACATATGTGCACCAATGCAATAATCATTTACAAAATAGCAAATATATATATTTTTTTGGAAATAACATTATGTATAGTCCTGTTTTTATGATTTTGCTGTCACACAAAAAGGAAGGGGGCTATGAATGAAGAATGATCTTTAACAGGATGCAAGGACCCTGTTTTATGAAGATCGAAACTGCTCTCGGTACGTCTAATGCTGAAAAGGAAAACGTCGGTGATAATTATGACGATGATTTCTCGGGAAATGCGACGTAAGACTTTATGATTTTCAAGTGGAATGAGTTGAGCATAATACGCGTAGCGGACGTAAGAAAACAAATAATGTATACGAAATTTTGGGTGGATCACCTCAAAAGAAAATACTACTACTGAGATATATGAATAGAATTATTGGCAATATCAAAATTGGTCCATTACATTAATTACAAATCAAAAGTGTTAAGAATAACTAGTAGTAAAGTGATTGATTTCAAATTAATGAAACATTGCATACTACAAATTTTATTACACTTTTTAGCGAGATATTTAATATGTGATATAAACAACTATAAATATTTTCAAGAAAATAATCTATTTTATGGAGTTATTTACTTAGTTACTTCGTGCTATTAAAAACCTAGAAGGAGTAGTTATTTGGAATCTTAAATAGACCACGCTAACAAGTAATTATCTTAATATTTGTCTCCTTGTACACTGTGAACGAAATAACTAGTTTATAAAGCTCTAAAAGGGTTTATAAAGAAACTATTTAAAATATCCTACTTAAACATGAATGTCTCTGGTCCACTATACGGAGAGATTTCAACAAAGTATCAAGAGTCAAAACATGACTTGGATTATGATCCTGATTTTATTCTGAACATATAATAAAAAGTCGAGCACGTAAAGGAAGTTCCATGGAATATCATTACCAGTGTTGTTGACGAAATACTTAGATCTTTCAAATTAACCGTATTTATGTGAGAACTGACTTTTATTGCACTTTGAATACGTTTGTTGATGGCTCTGTACCTGCATATATAAGCAACTGGAATGTACCGTCGCAAAGACCAGATGTGGAGGTGTTGGAGTGAAGTAACACAGACGTTAACCCTCACATATGTCTGTGTGCCGGCAAGCTGTCACTTTCCCCTACGTGTCAGTTTGCAGATGCTGCGGCAACGAGACTGATCCGATTTGAGTCTGACTTTGGCCACGAGGGTCATAAAACATATGTTACAACTACGCACTGCACCTTTTTTTCTAAAATGTTGTCTCGTCAAATAAAAAAAAACCGGTCCAAATTGTTAAAACGCATATTATCGAAATAAAATAACAGTCTAAGTCATAATTATTGTGCGTTTTGTCTAATGCGAAGGCACAGCCAACATCTTATTTAAGATAAAACGTATCGTGGCATTGTAACCACTAAAATCGGTGTGGAGGAAATGCCACTACCTAATTCCAAAATAACGTAAATTAATTTGTATAACCAGCGCATTTCTTTTGAAAAAATGGCAGAATCAAAATTACAGGCCAGTAGCTCTTGATGTATTTATTCTGTAAGGCAAGATTTAATTTTCAGAACACGTTGCCAGTTCCAGGATACCTGGGACGCTGAGTCGATTTCAAATCAATTACCAAACAAACGTATTACCTAGTGTTGCTGAAAACAAAAGCTTCATCACATCCAACACCTGTATTTGCTACTGTAACCCGATCCTGAGTTAGTTCAAACCACTCACTCCCACGTGTTGCTTAGTGTAACCTGTATTTGAAACCGGAAACCGATTCTGATTCAGTTCAGACCAGTTCATGGAATATCATGAATCAAACCACTCACTGCCACAAGTTTCCGAGGTTACCAATGCGTGCAGATATGCTCGCTCGTTATAGAGCGTACCTCCTTGAAGCATTGTACTTTGCGTGTGTTACTTTATGCATAACTTGTAAATAAAACTATTCGGTCCTGCGTCTTGTGATCTAGAAGCACTGCTTTAAAATGTAATAATTTCGATGGGAATCTGAATTGTCGATATCAGTTAACAGAACTGATGGCTTATACCTTGTAAAATTTGAGGTTTTCACAGCGGTGAGTCTGAATACTTCTGGGTTGTTACGCCGTATAGTCTGGTAGAAGTCCACCAACGTTTCAGAGGTCCGTGGTGCCTCTGTTATCAGGGCGTTGGTGGACATCTATCATGTTACATGGCGCAACAACCCAGAAGACAGATATCTTTGGTTTATACTTTGCACTTAGCGTGTTAGGTATTGATGGGCGTAAGGTGACGGGTTACTTTGTGTTGGTGCTGATGGAGGTGGTGCGTTTTGAAGGCTTCATTGCACGCTACGTTTATAACCGCAACAAACTGCGTGGTTATTAATGGTTATTTCCTGGTACCTGTTGGGGGAGTTGAGGATGTCGTATGGACTGACATCCCCGACAAATGCCCACGATGTGTACACTCATATCCACTAAAAACTGGTGATCAACACTTAAAAACTCATATTTTTATTCGGTTCCATCTCTCTTTCTCTTCTTGATCCACTATTGTTTTGGTCAGTAAACTATTAAACATAAATGCAACCCGACAACGGAATACATTACAGACGAAGAGATCTTTGGTATCAGACATGAAACCAGAATATTTAGTTTATGAACTTTTCTGTCAAGGTTAAAGTCACTCTTATAACACGTCATATGTATACAAACTGTATTAACATTAGCAGATTAGTAATGATATAAGAAGATTTCAGCTCTTCGCTGTTCGTGATCAATCCACGTTGTTGACTGTAACCTGTACTTGAAACTGGCGAAAATTACATTCTTGAGAGTAATAAACAAAAGCTGTTCCTTATGCCATGCAGACGTATGAGAGCGCATTCTAAATCTCTACACCACATGGAGGTAGTAGGTAGCTTAACCCCCCCCCCCCCCCCCCCC